CTCGAGCCTTTCCTACTCACTCACCCACCCACTGACTCATTCACCCACCCACTCACTCACTCATTCACTTACCCACCGACTCACCCACCCACTCACTCATTCACCCACCCACTCACTCACTCACCCACCCACCCGCCCACTCACCCATCACTCCATCTCTTCTCTAGCCCGTTTAGCCCCCTCGATCCGGCCCAACAGAAGCTGCTTGGGCATGCGGTGGCGAGGCATGCGGCCTACATGCCGGAGGAGCTCACCAATGGGACGTTGTCCAAATCTTTCAAGGATTTGTGAGCTCCCCACACAATACAGCCTGGTCAAACCCATGATGGATCGTAGGCAGGCCAGCCTCAATGTTTCGAACCGGCGAAGATGTTCCATTATGGGGGGTCCACGTTTCGCAAGCATAGAGAAGGGAGGGAATGACCGTGGCCGAGAAGACCCGAAGCTTAGTGCGGAGCGACAGACCAGGTAGCTTCCACACAGCGTTACGCAACCGATGAAAAGATATTGCCGCTCGACTGATTCAGTGAGACCTCTGCTGTTAAACTGGAGCCGTTCATGAGCACACTGCCCAGGTATGGGAAACTCTCCTCTCTCTCCACAACTGCCCCATCACCAATTGGGATTTGTGGGGGTGGAGTGTCCAATGGTACAAAATACCCAGGCAGGTGCTTACTTTTGGTGGGGCTAATGGTAAGGCCCCACCTCTTAGTGGCAAGCTCCAGGTTCAGCAGCTGTGCCTCCAACTCCTCTGAGTGGGCAGCAATTGCCAGATCATCGGCATACGTAACATGTTTAAGCAATAGGGAGCCATCCCTGGAACGCCCACGGGCATCAATCAGCCTCCCATTGTATCTGTACCAGATATAAATTCCTCCAGTACAGCTATCGAAGGCTTCACAAACAACGTGGTCAAAATAGAAGTTAAATGTGGGAGCAGGAGGACATCCCTGTCGCACCCCAAGCTGAACAGGGAATGGCTCTGACTCCCGGCCACGTAGTTTGACCAGGGCTCGCTCACCATCATGAAGGTCCTTAATGATCATGAGCTGAGTCAGAGACTCCAAAAGCACGAAGAACAACCCAGAGCTCAGGCCTACTGATGGTATCATAGGCCTTGACCAGGTCAATAAAGCAGAGACATAGGTCTTGCTGGAATTCCCTACACCTCTGCTGTAGCAGACGGACAGAAAATATGGCATCTGTGCAGGACCGCCCTTTCCTGAAACCGCATTGGGGCTCCGCAAGCCTCTCCTCAGTGTGCCTGGCCAGGCGATATTGAATAATCCTTGCCAGGACCTTTCCTGGCACACTGACGAGTGAAATACCCCTGTAGTTGTTACAGTCTGTGCGGTCCCCCTTCTTAAAGAGGGGGACCACCAGTGCATCCTTCCAATCCCGAGAACACGTCCAATGGTCAAGACTGTTATTATGTCATGTAGGGCAGTCTGTGCACAAACGCCACCCTCCCTCAGCATTTCGCTTGGGAGATCATCTCTGCCTGGTGCCTTTTCTGGTCTCAGACTCCGGATGGCCTTCAGTACTTCCTCAACAGATGGTACCTCCTTCAAATATTTGAGGCACCGCAGCCTCAGCAGGGTTATCCCCACTTTGCCCCATGATGTTTTCCAGGCTGAGGATTTTACCCTTCCCCAGGACCTTACAGAAATGCTCAGCAAATCTGCAAACCTGTTCCTGGCGGTCGGAGATTGGATCACCATTCTTTCCCCTAATGATGGTAATGTGTGGCGCTGCAAGTTACTTTGATGGATTTGTGATCGTGGGCCACTGAGGCAGATTCCATCTCCTCAGCAACCCGTGACCACTACCTCACGGCTCTCTGAACCTCCAAGCAAAGGCTGCGGTAAGCCTCCTTATCCTCTGACGTGGGATTCTGTAGCCGATGACAGTGGGCCTGTCGCTTTTTCTCAACCATCCTGAACACCTCCTCTGTCAGCCAGGGTCTCTGGGGAGGTCTGGACCGCGTACCCAACGCAGCCATTGCAGCTGCATGAGCCACAGACCTATACTTGCCCATTTTCTCTCAACATCAGGAGTGGGGGACGATGCCATCCCCAGCCGCAAGCGATGATGAAATTCTCACTTGCAACTTTCATCAGCTAGCCGAGACCAGGCCACTATGGGTTTGAATGGGGTCCTGGGTGTACACCCACCACCGGAGTGGAAGAATGGCAGGCACATCTTACAGATGACAAGTCGATGTTCAGAGGGCAGATCAGCTCCATGGTAGGTCCTGGTGTCAAGGACATGGGCTCGCATCCGCTGGTCCGTCACTATGTAGTCCAGCAGATGTTCTTGCTTGGACCCGGCATGCATCCATGATGTTTTGTGGATGCGCCGATGCCGGAACAGCGTGTTGGTAATTCCAAGCCCATGGGCTGCACAAAAATCTAGCAGCCTCCTACTGCTGTTATTGAGCTGATCTGGCCCATGCCTTCCAAATACTCCAGACCAGGTGCCAGCATCATGACCAACTCGGGCATTGAAGTCACACAACAAGATGACTCTATCCCAAGGGGCCACTTTAGCTAGCACCTGTGACAGGAGGTCATAGAAGGCATCTGACTCATCAACCTTGCCTGCATCCCTCCACGGATGTTCCTCGAGTTGATGGGAAGGCAAACCCAAAGTAGCCTGCGGCTTACAGCTTCCCACACCTCACCGCCACGCTCCCACACCCCCTTCATACTTTTGTTCAGATGAACAGCCACTTCCTCTTGTTTGGAAGTCTCCTGCCCTGAGTAGAGGACTGTCCACCCCTCATAGTGGCAAGGAGCCAGAGCCGTTCCACCAGACCTCCTGAATACCACAGAGATCCAGGTCGGTACCGTTCCAGCTCCTGACAGAGGAGTGGCAGCCTCTCAGCGAGTGTTCGAACATTCCACGTGGCCACCCGCAATGGCTTTTTGCTGTTTCTGGAGGAACCCCGAGGGTAAAGATTCAATCTCCTGGCTCTGCCAAATGGGGTTTGGCAATAACTCTCACGCACATAAAAAAATATCCCCGATTAGCCTGTTGGGGCAAGCGCTGTTAGCGAGCGCCTATGAAGGCCGGAACGGCACACGAGGGGGTGGGTGGCCAGCACCACGCCCGACCGCCTTTGTCTCCCCCAGTGGCGATGTTTACTACACACCACACCAGGTACTCATTTGAGGCTGAGTCGACCCAGGGGAGGCCCAAGACCGGTTCAGATAATCGTCACTGGTGTTGGCCGTGAGCGTGAATCGAACTTGGGTCGGCACGCACGTACACACACACACGCATACACGCACACACACATACACGCACGCACACACATTCACGCACACACAGACACACACACGTACACTTACTCACTGACACGCACACTTACACACTGACACGCACACTTACTCACTGACACGCACACTTACTCACTGACACGCACACTTACTCACTGACACGCACACTTACTCACTGACACGCACACTCACTAACTCACACACAGCACAGGCGCATAGGAACACAAAGGTTGTGTTTATTAACATTGGGTCAGACTGACACAAGCGTGTGTGTATGTGTGTGTTAATTCACTATGTGTTTGTCTATATGTGTGTGTGTCTGTGTCTCAAGGTGCACATAGCCTGGCACAAGCGTAGTGGTAACGTCACTGCCACTGAGTGGCGGTTGTTGTTGTTGTGTCTGTGTGTGTGTCTTTGTCTATATGTGTGTGTTTGTCCATATGTGTGTCTGTGTTTGTCTATACGTGTGTGTCTGGCCTCAAAGTGCACATGGCCTGGCACAAGCGTCGTGGTGACGTCACCGCCACTGAGTTGGCGAATGGCGGTTGTTGTTGTTGTTGTTGTGTCTGTGTGTGTGTGTGTCTTTGTCTATATGTGTGTGTCTTTGTCCATATGTGTGTCTGTGTTTGTCTATATGTGTGTGTGTCTGTGTCTCAAGGTGCACATAGCCTGGCACAAGCGTCGTGGTGACGTCACCGCCACTGAGTGGCGAATGGCGGTTGTTGTTGTTGTTGTTGTGTCTGTGTGTGTGTCTTTGTCTGTGTTGTTGTTATTGTTGTTGTGTCTGTGTGTGTGTCTTTGTCTGTGTTGTTGTTGTTATTGTTGTTGTTATTGTGTCTGTGTGTGTGTCTTTGTCTGTGTTGTTGTTGTTATTGTTGTTGTTGTGTCTGTGTGTGTGTCTTTGTCTGTGTTGTTGTTATTGTTGTTGTTGTGTCTGTGTGTGTGTCTTTGTCTGTGTTATTGTTGTTGTTATTGTTGTTGTTGTTGTGTCTGTGTGTGTGTCTTTGTCTGTGTTATTGTTGTTGTTATTGTTGTTGTTATTGTGTCTGTGTGTGTGTCTTTGTCTGTGTTGTTGTTGTTATTGTTGTTGTTGTTGTGTCTGTGTGTGTGTCTTTGTCTGTGTTGTTGTTATTGTTGTTGTGTGTGTCTTTGTCTGTGTTGTTGTTGTTATTGTTGTTGTTGTTGTGTCTGTGTGTGGTAGTCTTTGTCTGTGTTGTTGTTGTTATTGTTGTTGTTGTTGTGTCTGTGTGTGGTAGTCTTTGTCTGTGTTGTTGTTATTGTTGTTGTTGTTGTGTCTGTGTGTGTGTCTTTGTCTGTGTTATTGTTGTTGTTATTGTTGTTGTTGTTGTGTCTGTGTGTGTGTCTTTGTCTGTGTTATTGTTGTTGTTATTGTTGTTGTTGTGTCTGTGTGTGTGTCTTTGTCTGTGTTGTTGTTGTTATTGTTGTTGTTGTTATTGTGTCTGTGTGTGTGTCTTTGTCTGTGTTGTTATTGTTGTTGTTGTTGTGTCTGTGTGTGTGTCTTTGTCTGTGTTGTTGTTGTTGTTATTGTTGTTGTTATTGTGTCTGTGTGTGTGTCTTTGTCTGTGTTGTTATTGTTGTTGTTGTTGTGTCTGTGTGTGTGTCTTTGTCTGTGTTGTTGTTGTTGTTATTGTTGTTGGTGTGTCTGTGTGTGTGTCTTTGTCTGTGTTGTTATTGTTATTGTTGTTGTGTCTTTGTCTGTGTTGTTGTTGTTATTGTTGTTGTTATTGTTGTCCTGCGCCTATCCGTGCGCTGTTGCCTACGAGTCGAATTCTCCTGAGCCTCTCCTCGCCTCTCCTCGCCTCTCTCTCTCTCCTTCACCTCTCCTCCCCTCCCACCTCTCCCGCGCGAAACCGTCACTCGTCGTCGGAGTACAGGGAGGAGTCCTTGCGCCGTGAGCGTGTGAACTCCTTGGAGCCATAGTCGTAGATGAAGTAGAGCAACATGAACGCTGAGCGGCGTTGAGGGGGGCGGGAGGGGGGAGAGGGGGAGGGGAGAGTGAGACACGGTGAGTGAGACACGGGGAGAGTGACACGGTGAGACACGGGGAGAGTGACACGGTGAGACACGGGGAGAGTGACACGGTGAGACACGGGGAGAGTGACACGGTGAGACACGGGGAGAGTGACACGGTGAGTGAGAGATGGTGGAGGGGGAGAGTGACACGGTGAGTGAGACACGGGGAGAGTGACACGGTGAGACACGGGGAGAGTGACACGGTGAGTGAGAGATGGTGGGGGGGGGAGAGTGACACGGTGAGTGAGACACGGGGAGAGTGACATGGTGAGACACGGGGAGAGTGACACGGTGAGTGAGAGATGGTGGGGGGGGAGAGTGACACGGTGAGTGAGACACGGGGAGAGTGACACGGTGAGTGAGAGATGGTGGGGGGGGAGAGTGACACGGTGAGTGAGACACGGGGAGAGTGACACGGTGAGACACGGGGAGAGTGACACGGTGAGTGAGAGATGGTGGGGGGGGGAGAGTGACACGGTGAGTGAGACACGGAGAGAGGGACACGGGAGAGGGGGAGAGAGAGAGTGACACGGGGAGAGTGACACGGTGAGACACGGAGAGAGGGACACAGGGAGAGAGAGAGGGACAGGGCGAGAGTGACACGGTGAGTGAGACAGAGAGAGGGACACGGGGAGAGGGGGAGAGAGACAGAGTGGGAGAGAGACAGAGTGGGAGGGAGAGAGGAGGAGAGAGAGTGACACGTAGAGTGAGACACGGAGAGAGAGAGGGACACGGGGAGAGGGGGAGAGAGACAGAGAGGGAGAGGGACAGAGAGACAGAGAGGGAGAGAGACACGGGGAGAGTGACACGGTGTGTGAGGGAGAGATGGTGGGAGAGTGACACGGTGAGTGAGACACGGAGAGAGGGACACGGGAAGAGAGACAGAGAGGGAGAGAGTGACACGGTGAGAGAGGGAGAGATGGTGGGGGGGAGAGTGACACGGTGAGGCACAGAGAGAGGGACACGGAGAGAGGGAGAAAGAGACAGAGTGGGAGAGAGACAGAGAGGGAGGGGGTAAGACACAGAGAGAGGGAGAGAGACAGAGAGAGGGAGACAGAGGGTGAGAGGGAGGGAGAGAGACAAAGAGGGAGAGAGACAAAGAGGGAGAGAGACAGAGAGAGAGAGAGACAGAGAGAGAGACAGAGAGAGGGAGAGAGACAGAGAGAGCAGGGAAGAGAGACAGAGGGGGAGAGAGAGAGACAGAGAGAGAGAGACAGAGAGAGGGAGACAGAGGGTGAGAGGGAGGGAGAGAGACAAAGAGGGAGAGAGACAGAGAGAGGACAGAGAGAGAGACAGAGAGAGGACAGAGAGAGAGACAGAGAGAGGACAGAGAGAGACAGAGAGAGCGGAGAAGAGAGACAGAGGGGGAGGGAGAGACAGAGAGGGAGAGAGTGACACGGTGCATCGATGTGTGAAAGTTGAACTTCTTTTACACCGTACGTAGCCAACCACACTAATCAGTGAGCGATAGGGAAGGAGAGAGACACAGGGAGACGGGGTGTGTGGGTGGGTGAATGGGTGAGTGGGTTGGTGAGTGGGTGGGTGAGTGAGTGGGTGGGTGAGTGAGTGGGTGGGTGATTGAGTGGGTGGGTGAGTGAGTGGGTGGGTGAGTGGGTGGGTGAATGAGTGGGTGAGTGAGTGGGTGGGTGAGTGAGTGGGTGAGTGAGTGGGTGGGTGATTGAGTGGTGGGTGGGTGAATAGTGGGTGGGTGGGTGAGTGTATGGGTGAGTGGGTGGGTGAGTGAGTGACTGAGTGGATGGGTGAGTGGATGGGTGAATGAGTGGGTGGGTGAGTGGTGAGTGGGTGAGTGTATGGGTGAGTGGGTGGGTGAGTGAGTGGGTGTGTGGGTAGGTGAATGAGTGCATGACTAACCAAATGTACAATTGAGTGAGTATATAGTGAGCGAGTGTATGGGTGAGCAAGTGAGTGGGTAAGTGGGTAATTAACTAAATGTAGGATTGAGTGAATGAGTGAGTGAGCTAGTGCGTCAGCGAATGTATGGGTGGGTGGGTGAGTGGGTGAGTGAGTGGGTGAGTGGGTGGGTGAGTGGGTGGGTGAGTGGGTGAGTGAGTGGATGAGTGGGTAATTAATTACGTGTATGTTTGAGTGGATGAGTATATGGGTGAGTGTATGGATGAGTGAGTGGGAGAGTGACTGGGAGAGTGAGTGAGTGGGTGGGTGAATGAGTGGGTAATTAACTACGTGTATGATTGAGTGGATGAGTGTATGATTGAGTGGATGAGTGAGTGTGTGAGTGAGTGTGTGGGTGAGTGTACGGATGAGTGTGTGGGTGCGTCAATGTGTGGGTGAGTGAGTGGGTGAGTGAGTGGGTGGGTGAGTGAGTGGGTAATTAACTACGTGTATGATTGAATGGATGAGTGTATGATTGAGTGGATGATTGAGTGGATGAGTGAGTGTGTGGGTGAGTGAATGTGAGTGTATGAATGGGTGAGTGTATGGATGGGTTAGTGAGTGGATGAGTGTGTGGGTGAGTGGGTGAGTGTGTGAATGAATGTACGGGTGAGTGTATGGATGAGTTTGTGAGTGGTTGAGTGAGTGGATGAGTGAATGTATGGGTGGGTGAGTGAGTGGGTTAGTGTATGGATGAGTGAGTGGATGAGTGAGTGTGTATGTGGGTGAATGTGTGGGTGAGTGTGTGAATGAGTGTACGGATGAGTGTATGGATGAGTGAGAAGGTGGATGAGTGTGTGGGTGAGTGTGTGGGTGAGTGTGTGAATGAGTGTACGGGTGAGTGTATGGATGGGTGAGTGAGTGAGTGAGTGGGTGGGTGAGTGAGTGTGTGGGTGAGTGTGTGGGTGAGTGTGTGAATGAGTGTACGGGTGAGTGTATGGATGAGTGAGTGAGTGAGTGTGTGGGTGAGTGAGTGGGTGAGTGTGTGAATGAGTGTACGGGTGAGTGTATGGATGAGTGAGTGAGTGAGTGGGTGAGTGAGTGTGTGGGTGAGTGTGTGGGTGAGTGTGTGAATGAGTGTACGGGTGAGTGTATGGATGAGTGAGTGAGTAGGTGGGTGAGTGAGTGTGTGGGTGAGTGAGTGGGTGAGTGTGTGAATGAGTGTACGGGTGAGTGTATGGATGAGTGGGTGAGTGAGTGTGTGGGTGAGTGTGTGGGTGAGTGTGTGGGTGAGTGTGTAGGTGAGTGTGTGAATGAGTGTACGGGTGAGTGTATGGATGAGTGAGTGGGTGAGTGAGTGTGTGGGTGAGTGTGTGGGTGAGTGTGTGAATGAGTGTACGGGTGAGTGTATGGATGAGTGAGTGGGTGAGTGAGTGTGTGGGTGAGTGTGTGGGTGAGTGTACGGGTGAGTGTATGGATGAGTGAGTGAGTGGGTAGGTAAGTGTGTGGGTGAGTAAGTGGGTGAGTGTGTGGGTGAGTGTGTGAATGAGTGTACGGGTGAGTGTATGGATGAGTGAGTGAGTGGGTGAGTGTGTGGGTGAGTGTGTGGGTGAGTGTGTGAATGAGTGTACGGGTGAGTGTATGGATGAGTGAGTGAGTGGGTGAGTGAGTGTGTGGGTGAGTGTGTGGGTAAGTGTGTGAATGAGTGTACGGGTGAGTGTATGGATGAGTGAGTGAGTGGGTGGGCGAGTGAGTGGGTGAGTGTGTGAATGAGTGTACGGGTGAGTGTATGGATGAGTGAGTGAGTGGGTGAGTGAGTGTGTGGGTGAGTGTGTGAATGAGTGTACAGGTGAGTGTATGGATGAGTGAGTGAGTGGGTGGGTGAGTGAGTGTGTGGGTGAGTGTGTGGGTGAGTGTGTGGGTGAGTGTATGGGTGAGTGTATGGATGAGTGAGTGAGTGGGTGAGTGAGTGAGTGTGTGGGTGAGTGTATGGGTGAGTGTGTGAGTGAGTGGGTGAGTGAGTGAGTGTGTGGGTAAGTGAGTGTACGGGTGAGTGTATGGATGAGTGTGTGAATGAGCGTGTGAATGAGTGTATGGATGAGTGAGTGTGTGAGTGAGTGTGTGAATGAGTGTGCGGGTGAGCGTATGGATGAGTGGGTGAGTGAGTGTGGGTGAGTGTATGGATGAGTGGGTGAGTGAGTGTGTGGGTGAGTGAGTGGGTGAGTGTGTGAATGAGTGTACGGGTGAGTGTATGGTTGAGTGAGTGAGTGAATGAGTGAGTGAGTGTATGGATGAGTGAGTGTACGGGTGAGTGTGTGGATGAGTGTGTGAATGAGTGTATGGATGAGTGGGTGAGTGTGTGAGTGTGTGTGTGAGTGTGTGGGTGAGTGTACGGGTGAGTGTATGAATGAGTGGGTGAGTGAGTGGGTGAGTGAGTGTATGGGTAAGTGTATGGATGAGTGTGTGAATGAGTGTGTGAATGAGTGTATGGATGAGTGAGTGTATGGATGAGTGAGTGTATGAGTGAGTGTGCGGGTGAGTGTATGGATGAGTGGGTGAGTGAGTGTGTGGGTGAGTGTGTGGGTGAGTGTGTGGGTGAGTGTGTGGGTGAGTGTGTGAATGAGTGTACGGGTGAGTGTATGGTTGAGTGAGTGAGTGTATGGATGAGTGAGTGTACGGGTAAGTGTGTGGATGAGTGAGTGAGTGTGTGGGTGAGTGTGTGAATGAGTGTATGGATGAGTGTGTGTGTGAGTGTGTGTGTGAGTGTGTGGGTGAGTGTACGGGTGAGTGTATGAATGAGTGGGTGAGTGAGTGGGTGGGTGGGTGAGTGAGTGTGTGGGTGAGTGAGTGGGTGAGTGTGTGAATGAGTGTACGGGTGAGTGTATGGTTGAGTGAGTGAGTGTATGGATGAGTGAGTGTACGGGTGAGTGTGTGGATGAGTGAGTGAGTGAGTGTGTGGATGAGTGTGTGAATGAGTGAGTGTACGGGTGAGTGTGTGGATGAGTGAGTGAGTGAGTGTGTGGGTGAGTGTGTGGGTGAGCGTACGTGTGAGCGTACGGGTGAGTGTGTGGATGAGTGAGTGAGTGAATGAGTGTGTGAATGAGTGTATGGATGAGTGAGTGTGTGTGTGTGAGTGTGTGGGTGAGCGTACGTGTGAGTGTATGGGTGTGTGGATGAGTGAGTGAATGAGTGTGTGAATGAGTGTGTGAATGAGTGTATGGAAGAGTGAGTGTGTGTGTGTGAGTGTGTGTGTGAGCGTACGTGTGAGTGTACGGGTGAGTGTATGAATGAGTGGGTGAATGAGTGGGTGGGTGGGTGAGTGAGTGTGTGGGTGAGTGTGTGAGCGTACGTGTGAGTGTACGGGTGAGTGTATGGTTGAGTGAGTGAGTGTATGGATGAGTGAGTGTACGGGTGAGTGTGTGGTAGAGTGAGTGAGTGAGTGTGTGGGTGAGTGTGTGGATGAGTGTGTGGATGAGTGCGTGAATGAGTGTATGGATGAGTGAGTGAGTGTGTGTGAGTGTGTGGGTGAGTGTACGTGTGAGCGTACGGGTGAGTGTGTGAGCGTACGGGTGTGTGGATGAGTGAGTGTGTGGGTGAGTGAGTGAGTGTGAGCGTGTGGGTGAGCGTGTGAGTGTGTGAGCGTACGGGTGTGTGGATGAGTGATTGAGTGTACGGGTGAGTGTATGGATGAGTGTGTGGGTGAGTGTGTGGGTGAGTGTGTGGATGAGTGTGTGAATGAGTGTGTGGGTGAGTGTGTGAATGAGTGAGTGAGTGTGTGAGTGTGTGAGCGTACGTGTGAGTGTGCGAGCGGGCCGCGTGCGTGGACTCACGTGGGCCCACCCTCAGGGCCTGCGCGCTAATTCGGCGCAGGGTGTTGGGGAGCGCCTGGGTGAAGAAGTTCGCGAAGGCTCGCTGCTCGAAGGGCGAGAGGCTGAAGGTGACAACGTGCCTCACGCGTGCCAGCCGCCCAAACTCAAGGTGGTCGCCCCCCATCGCTGCAGAGCTGCGGGGAGAAGATGGTGGGGGGGGGGGAGGGGAGGGGGAGGGGTGTGGATGGGAGGAAGAGCGGGTACATTGGTGGGAGGGTGGACGAGTGGGCGGGTGGGTGGGTGGGTGAGTGGGTGGGTGAGCGAGTGGGTGGGCGGGCGAGTGGGTGGGCGGGCGAGTGGGTGGGTGGGCGAGTGGGTGGGCGGGCGAGTGGGTGGGTGGGCGAGTGGGTGGGCGAGTGGGTGGGTGGGCGAGTGCGTGGGCGGGTGAGTGGGTGGGCGAGTGGGTGGGTGGGCGAGTGGGTTGGCGGGCTGGTGGGTGGGCGAGTGGGTGGGTGGGCGAGTGGGTGGGCGAGTGGGTGGGTGGGCGAATGGGTGGGCGGGTGGGTGGGTGGGCGGGTGGGCGAGTGGGTGGGTGGGCGGGCGGGTGGGTGAGCGGGCGGATGGGCGAGTGGGCGGATGGGCGAGTGGGTGGATGGGCGAGTGGGTGGATGGGTGAGTGGGTGGATGGGCGAGTGGGTGGATGGGCGAGTGGGTGGATGGGCGAGTGGGTAGATGGGCGAGTGGTTTGATGGGCGAGTGGGTGGATGGGCGAGTGGGTGGATGAGCGAGTGGGTGGATGAGCGAGTGCGTGGATGGGCGAGTGGGTGGATGGGCGAGTGGGTGGATGAGCGAGTGGGTGGATGAGCGAGTGGGTGGATGGGCGAGCGGGTGGATGGGCGAGCGGGTGGATGGGCGAGCGGGTGGATGGGCGAGCGGGTGGATGGGCGAGTGGGTGGATGAGCGAGTGTGTGGATGGGCGAGTGGGTGGATGGGCGAGTGGGTGGATGAGCGAGTGGGTGGATGAGCGAGTGGGTGGATGAGCGAGTGGGTGGATGGGCGAGTGGGTGGATGGGCGAGCGGGTGGATGGGCGAGTGGTTGGATGGGCGAGTGGGAGGATGAGCGAGTGGGTGGATGGGCGAGTGGATGGATGGGCGAGTAGGTGGATGGGCGAGTGGTTGGATGGGCGAGTGGGTGGATGGGCGAGTGGGTGGATGGGCGAGTGGGTGGATGGGCGAGTGGGTGGATGGGCGAATGGGTGGATGGGCGAGTGGGTGGATGGGCGAGTGGGTGGATGGGCGAGTGGGCGGATGGGCGAGTGGATGGATGGGCGAGTGGGTGGATGGGCGAGTGGGTGGATGGGCGAGTGGGTGGATGGGCGAGTGGGTGGATGGGCGAATGGGTGGATGGGCGAGTGGGTGGATGGGCGAGTGGGTGGATGGGCGAGTGGGCGGATGGGCGAGTGGATGGATGGGCGAGTGGGTGGATGGGCGAGTGGGTGGATGGGCGAGTGGGTGGATGGGCAAGTGGGTGGATGGGCGATTGGGTGGATGGGTACATTAGTCAGTGGGTGGGCTAGGTGAAAGGAGACACAGGCAGGAAGGAGACATCCGCTACCACCACCACTACCACACCTCTTTTCCCCTCTTCCCGAAGGCAGTTAGCGCCGCACTGCAAATACGGCGTCCCGAGTTCGACTCCCGCTCAAGCCCATCGCTAACACCCAGTGACGGCGATTCTCTCAAACGGTCCTGGGCCTCCCCTAGGTCGCCTCGACCTCAAATTAGTAGCAGGTGCGGTGAGAGGGTGAGTGGGCGGGTGAGTGGGGGGGTGAGTGGGCGAGTGGGTGGGCGAGTGGGTGGGTGGACTGGGTGAGTGGGTGGGTGAGTGGGTGGGTGGATTGGGTGAGTGTGTGGGTGGGTTTGCGGCCTCCCCTAAGGTCGACTCGTCCTCAAATTATTATCCGGTGCGGTGTGCAGTGAAACATCTGGAGACAGAGGCAGCCGGCCGAGGTGCCGGCCACACCAACCCCCACTACGCGCGCCACATTCCTGGCCGTAAGTGCGACTAAAGGCTCTACCGGGGGATCTTTGTCTTCCTGTGTGTGTGGGTGGCTGGGCATGCGGGTCACGTGACCCGCATGCAAAGGCCACCGGCATGCCCAAGCGGCGTTTGTTTGGCCGGACAGAGGGGGCTCGTGGAGGACGCCGCTACTGGGCAGTGCCAGGCTAGGTGAACCCCGAGGCTACTGGGCAGTTTGGAGGCAATTCGCCCCACCAGGAACAACGGCGGAGGGCGGAGGGGCGACGCTCACAACAACGAGCGGCGCTGCGCCGGGCGGATAAAACGCAGCGAGTTGGCACAGTGGGGAGCCCAGTTTTTGGTGCAGCTGCACCTAGCCTGGCACAGCAGTCAATCCACCGGGAACCTGGGTCTATCCTGTGACCTCTTCCTCATGCACATAGCCTGGCACAGCAGTCAACCCATGGCATCTGCTGGGTCTGACCAGTGACCTCCACCTGCACCTAGCCTGGCACAGCAGTCAACCCATGGCACCTGCTGGGTCTATCACGTGACCTCCTCCACCTGCACCTAGCCTGGCACAGCAGTACAACCCATGCCACCTGCTGGGTCTATCACGTGACCTCCTCCTCATGCACCTAGCCTGGCACAGCAGTACAACCAATAGCACCTGCTGGGTCTGTCCCGTGACCTCCTCCTGGTGCACCTAGCCTGGCACAGCAGTACAACCCATGGCATCTGCAGGGTCTGTCCCGTGACCTCCTCCTCATGCACCTAGCCTGGCACAGCAGTCAACCCATGGCACCTGCAGGGTCTGTCCCGTGACCTCCTCGTGCACCTAGCCTGGCACAGCAGTCAACCCCTGGCACCTGCAGGGTCTGACCAGTGACCTCCTCGTGCACCTAGCCTGGCACAGCAGTCAACCCACGGCACCTGCAGGGTCTGTCCCGTGACCTCCTCGTGCACCTAGCCTGGCACAGCAGTCAACCCATGGCACCTGCAGGGTCTGATCAGTGACCTCCTCGTGCACCTAGCCTGGCACAGCAGTCAACCCATGGAACCTGGAGGCTCTGTCCCGTGACCTCCTCCTTGTGCACCTAGCCTGGCACAGCAGTCAACCCACGGCACCTGCAGGGTCTGTCCCGTGACCTCCTCATGCACCTAGCCTGGCACAGCAGTCAACCCATGGCACCTGCTGGGTCTGTCCCGTGACCTCCTGCACCTGCACCTAGCCTGGCACAGCAGTCAACCCACGGCACCTGCAGGGTCTGTCCCGTGACCTCCTCGTGCACCTAGCCTGGCACAGCAGTCAACCCACGGCACCTGCAGGGTCTGTCCCGTGACCTCCTCGTGCACCTAGCCTGGCACAGCAGTACAACCCATGGCACATGCTGGGTCTGTCCCGTGACCTCCTCCTCATCCTGGTGCACCTAGCCTGGCACGAGCGACGTGCGGCGAACGCTGGCTATCGTTGCTATTGAGGTTCGACCAAAGAGAACCCCCCCCCCCCCCAATTTAGCGTCCGACGTTTCGGCCCAAGGAGCTCCGTTTACAGAGGCCTTAGCGTTAGGCCTAAGGCCCCGTCTCCTCTGAGGCGAATTTATTTAATTTAAAAAAAAACTAATTTTTTTTGTTTAAACTTCGACGCGCGAGGTAAACGTTTTAACGAAAGTAAAATAAAATAAAAAGGCGGTCTTAGAATCTGTTTTTGTTTAAAAAAAAACGTTTTAAGAATAATTCGGCACGCGCGACACCCATACCTTGAAGGTCGCCTTCGCGTTAATGACACCGAAGGGGAGCTGCGTGATGACGTCAGCACGTCGCAAGTGCTGACGTATTGACGTGATGACGTCAACACGTCACGGCGCGCCGCACCAAACCCCTCCCACCACCCCACCCTGTGACCTTTAAGGTCGCCATCTTGTAAAAACATGGCGCGGCGGCGAAGTCGACGCCGTCGCGCGCGCGCCTGATGATGACGTCGGCGCCGTCTCGCGCGCGCGCCTGATGATGACGTCGACGCGTCTCGCGCGCGCGCCTGATGACGTCGCCGCAAACTCAGCGCGTTTGCATTTCGTAGCACGGATAAGCAGCGGGCGTCCGCTGTCAGCCGCTCGGCGCGGCGGCGCTTCGTGCTTATCCGTTGTAGGTTTATTTGTTTCCGGGGTCGCCGTCTTTACCCGGATGCGAAAGCACGTGGTGGTTGGAGGTCTTACTCCTCTGTCTTTCTCGCTCGCTCTCTCTCTCTCTCTTAGGCAGGGCCTCGACCCGAAACGTCGGACTGCTTGCTTAAAAAAAAGGGCGCGCGGCGCGCTAGCCACGAGCGCGTTGCTAACTAGCGCTTAGCTAGTAATAGTAATAATAACTGCTACTACCACCTCCACACTAACTAGTACTGCAGTCACGAAAGCTTTAAATCAAAATTTACTCGCCCCCTGTCACTAATTAGTACTGGTCCACCTCCACCCCTCCATCTCTTCTGTCTCTACCCCTGTAGGCGGCACAGATGGTTCGTTTCAAACACAGGTGAGTGCACCAGAGTAAGCCTGGTCCCGTCGTGGGCACGTGGAGTGGCGTTTAACGTGTGGTGGTGGGGGGGAAGTCTTATCTCCTCCTGGGGTGACTGTGTGGGTGAGTGTATGTATGAGTGAGTGTGTGAGTGAGTGTATGAGTGAGTGTGTGGGTGAGTGAGTGAGTGTATGAGTGAGTGAGTGTATGAGTGAGTGAGTGTGTGAGTGAGTGTATGAGTGAGTGAGTGTGTGAGTGAGTGTATGAGTGAGTGTATGAGTGAGTGAGTGTGTGAGTGAGTGAGTGTATGAGTGAGTGAGTGTGTGAGTGAGTGTATGAGTGAGTGTATGAGTGAGTGAGTGTGTGAGTGAGTGAGTGTATGAGTGAGTGAGTGTGTGAGTGAGTGTATGAGTGAGTGAGTGAGTGTATGAGTGAGTGTATGAGTGAGTGTGTGAGTGAGTGTATGAGTGAGTGAGTGTATGAGTGAGTGTATGAGTGAGTGTATGAGTGAGTGAATGAGTAAGTGTATGAGTGAGTGAGTGTATAACTGAGTGTGTGAGTGAGTGCATGAGTGAGTGAGTGTAACAGTGAGTGAGTGTATGAGTGAGTGAGTGTATGTGTGAGTGAGTTATGAGTGAGTGTATGAGTGAGTGAGTGAGTGTATGAGTGAGTGTATGAGTGAGTGTATGAGTGAGTGTATGAGTGAGTGAGTGTATGAGTGAGTGAGTGTAACAGTGAGTGTATGAGTGAGTGAGTGTATGAGTGAGTGTATGAGTGAGTGAATGAGTGAGTGTAACAGTGAGTGTATGAGTGAGTGAGTGTATGAGTGAGTGAGTGTAACAGTGAGTGTATGAGTGAGTGAGTGTATGAGTGAGTGTATGAGTGAGTGAGTGTATGAGTGAGTGTATGAGTGAGTGAGTGAATGAGTGTATGAGTGAGTGTATGAGTGAGTGAGTGTATGAGTGAGTGAGTGTGTGAGTGAGTGTATGAGTGAGTGAGTGAGTGTATGAGTGAGTGTATGAGTGAGTGTGTGAGTGAGTGTATGAGTGAGTGAGTGTATGAGTGAGTGTGTGAGTGAGTGTGTGAGTGAGTGTATGAGTGAGTGAGTGTATGAGTGAGTGAGTGTATGAGTGAGTGAGTGAGTGTATGAGTGAGTGTATGAGTGAGTGTATGAGTGAGTGAATAAGTGTGTGAGTGAGTGTATGAGTGAGTGTGTGGGTGAGTGAGTGTATGAGTGAGTGTATGAGTGAGTGAGTGAGTGTGTGAGTGAGTGAATGAGTGTATGAGTGAGTGTATGAGTGAGTGTGTGGGTGAGTGAGTTTACGAGTGAATGAATGAGTGTATGAGTGAGTGTATGAGTGAGTGAGTGTATGAGTGAGTGAGTGTATGAGTGAGTGAGTGTATGAGTGAGTGTATCAGTGTATGAGTGAGTGAGTGTGAGTGAATGAGTGAGTGAGTGTATGAGTGAGTGAGTGTATGAGTGAGTGAGTGTATGAGTGAGTGAGTGTATGAGTGAGTGAGTGTATGAGTGAGTGTGTGAGTGAGTGTAACAGTGAGTGTATGAGTGAGTGAGTATGAGTGAATGAGTGAGTGTGTGAGTGAGTGTATAAGTGAGTGAGTGTATGAGTGAGTGAGTGTATGAGTGAGTGAGTGTGTGAATGAGTGTGTGAGTGAGTGTAACAGTGAATGAGTGTAATAGTGAGTGAGTGTAACAGTGAGTGAGTGTGTGAGTGAGTGTAACAGTGAGTGAGTGTAACAGTAAGTGAGTGTAACAGTGAGTGAGTGTGTGAGTGAGTGTAACAGTGAGTGAGTGAGTGTATGAGTGAGTGAGTGTGTGAGTGAGTGTAACAGTTAGTGAGTGTATGAGTGAGTGAGTGTGTGAGTGAGTGTAACAGTGAGTGAGTGTAACAGTGAGTGAGTGAGTGTAACAGTGAGTGAGTGTAACAGTGAGTAAGTGTAACAGTGAGTGAGTGTAACAGTGAGTGAGTGTAACAGTGAGTGAGTGTGTGAGTGAGTGTGTGAGTGAGTGTAACAGTGAGTGAGTGTGTGAGTGTAACAGTGAGTGAGTGTAACAGTGAGTGAGTGTAACAGTGAGTGAGTGTGTGAGTGAGTGTAACAGTGAGTGAGTGTAACAGTGAGTGAGTGTGTGAGTGAGTGTAACAGTGAGTGAGTGTAACAGTGAGTGAGTGAGTGTAACAGTGAGTGTGTGAGTGAGTGTAACAGTGAGTGAGTGTGTGAGTGAGTGTATGAGTGAGTGTGTGAGTGTAACAGTGAGTGAGTGTAACAGTGAGTGAGTGTAACAGTGAGTGAGTGTAACAGTGAGTGAGTGTAACAGTGAGTGAGTGAGTGTGTGAGTGAGTGTAACAGTGAGTGAGTGTGTGAGTGTAACAGTGAGTGTAACAGTGAGTGAGTGTAACAGTGAGTGTAACAGTGAGTGTAACAGTGAGTGAGTGTAACAGTGAGTGTAACAGTGAGTGTAACAGTGAGTGAGTGTAACAGTGAGTGAGTGTATGAGTGAGTGAGTGAGTGTATGAGTGATTGAGTGAGTGTATGAGTGAGTGTGTGAGTGAGTGTAACAGTGAGTGAGTGAGTGTATGAGTGATTGAGTGAGTGTATGAGTGAGTGTGTGAGTGAGTGTAACAGTGAGTGAGTGAGTGTAACAGTGAGTGAGTGTAACAGTGAGTGTAACAGTGAGTGATTGTGTGTGCGGCGTGCGTGCGGTGCCAGGTACCTGCTGTGTGAGGTGAGACTTCCTCCCCTGCGACCGCTGCGCCAGTTACTCCACCACCGCTCCGTGCGCTCGGCACTCCGCCTGGCCATCGCCGAGATGCACGGAGACTACGGACTCGCAGCCTGTGAGGCCGGACTCGCAGGTACTCGCCTACTCGCTCAACTACTCACTCAACTACTCGCTCAACTACTCACTCAACTACTCACTCAACTACTCACTCAACTACTCACTCGCCTACTCACCTACTCGCTCAACTACTCACTCAACTACTCACTCAACTACTCACTCAACTACTCACTCAACTACTCGCTCACCTACTCGCTCAACTACTCACTCGCCTACTCACCTACTCGCTCAACTACTCACTCAACTACTCACTCAACTACTCACTCAACTACTCACTCGCCTACTCACCTACTCGCTCAACTACTCACTCAACTACTCACTCACCTACTCACTCACCTGTTCACCTACTCGCTCACCTACTCACTCAACTACTCACTCAACTACTCGCCTACTCACTCAACTACTCACTCAACTACTCACTCAACTACTCACTCACCTACTCACTCACCTGTTCACCTACTCACTCAACTACTCACTCGCCTGCTCACTCAACTACTCACTCACCTACTCACCTGCCCACTCGCCTACTCGCTCAACTACTCACTCACCTACTCAATCGCCTACTCACTCAACTACTCACTCAACTACTCACTCAACTACTCACTCAACTACTCACTCACCTACTCACTCGCCTACTCACCTACTCGCTCAACTACTCACTCAACTACTCACTCAACTACTCGCTCAACTACTCGCTCAACTACTCACTCAACTACTCACTCAACTACTCACTCAACTACTCACTCGCCTACTCACCTACTCGCTCAACTACTCACTCAACTACTCACTCAACTACTCACTCAACTACTCACTCGCCTACTCACCTACTCGCTCAACTACTCACTCAACTACTCACTCACCTACTCACTCACCTGTTCACCTACTCGCTCACCTACTCACTCAACTACTCACTCAACTACTCGCCTACTCACTCAACTACTCACTCAACTACTCACTCAACTACTCACTCAACTACTCACTCACCTACTCACTCACCTGTTCACCTACTCACTCAACTACTCACTCGCCTGCTCACTCAACTACTCACTCACCTACTCACCTGCCCACTCGCCTACTCGCTCAACTACTCACTCACCTACTCAATCGCCTACTCACTCAACTACTCACTCAACTACTCACTCAACTACTCACTCAACTACTCACTCACCTACTCACTCGCCTACTCACCTACTCGCTCAACTACTCACTCAACTACTCACTCAACTACTCACTCACCTACTCACTCAACTACTCACTCAACTACTCACTCAACTACTCACTCGCCTACTCACCTACTCGCTCAACTACTCACTCAACTACTCACTCAACTACTCACTCAACTACTCACTCGCCTACTCACCTACTCGCTCAACTACTCACTCAACTACTCACTCACCTACTCACTCACCTGTTCACCTACTCGCTCACCTACTCACTCAACTACTCACTCAACTACTCGCCTACTCACTCAACTACTCACTCAACTACTCACTCAACTACTCACTCACCTACTCACTCACCTGTTCACCTACTCACTCAACTACTCACTCGCCTGCTCACTCAACTACTCACTCACCTACTCACCTGCCCACTCGCCTACTCGCTCAACTACTCACTCACCTACTCACTCACCTACTCACTCAACTACTCACTCAACTACTCACTCAACTACTCACTCAACTACTCACTCACCTACTCACTCGCCTACTCACCTACTCGCTCAACTACTCACTCAACTACTCACTCAACTACTCACTCACCTACTCACTCAACTACTCACTCAACTACTCAATCAACTACTCACTCGCCTACTCACCTACTCACTCACCTGTTCACCTACTCACTCACTCACTCACCTACTCACTCACCTACTCACCTACTCCCTCACCTATTCACCTACTCGCTCACCTACTCGCTCACCTACTCACTCACCTACTCACCTACTCACTCACCTACTCACCTACTCACTCACCTACTCGCTCACCTACTCACTCACCTACTCACTCAACTACTCACTCAACTACTCACTCGCCTACTCACTCACCTACTCACTCAACTACTCACTCAACTACTCACTCGCCTACTCACTCACCTACTCACTCAACTACTCACTCAACTACTCACTCACCTACTCACCTACTCGCTCACCTACTCGCTCACCTACTCACTCACCTACTCACCTACTCACTCACCTACTCACCTACTCACTCACCTACTCGCTCATCTACTCGCTCACCTACTCACTCACCTACTCACCTACTCACTCACCTACTCGCTCACCTACTCGCTCACCTACTCACTCACCTACTCACTCACCTACTCACTCACCTGTTCACCTACTCACCTATTCACTCACCTACTCACTCACCTACTCGCTTACCTACTCACTCACCTACTCACTCACCTACTCACTCACCTACTCACCTACTCACTCACCTACTCACTCACCTCACCTACTCACTCACCCACTCACCTACTCACTCACCCACTCACTCACTCACCCACTCACCTACTCACCCTACTCACCTACTCACTCACCTACTCACCCACTCACCTACCCACTCACCCACTCACCTACCCACTCACCTACTCACCTACCCACTCACCTACCCACTCACCTACTCACTCACTTACCCACTCACCTACTCACTCACCTACTCACTCACCTACTCACTCACCTGTTCACCTACTCACCTACTCACCCACCCACTCACCCACTCACCTGTTCACCTACTCACCTACTCACTCACCCACTCACCTACTCACTCACCTACTCACTCACCTACTCACTCACCCACTCACCTACTCACTCACTTACCCACTCACCTACCCACCCACCTACTCACTCACCCACTCACCTACCCACCCACCTACTCACTCACCCACTCACCTACTCACTCACCTACTCACTCACCCAGTCACCTACTCACTCACCTACTCACTCACCCACTCACCTACTCACTCACCTACTCGCTCACCTACTCACTCACCTACTCACTCACCTACTCACTCACCCACTCACCTACCCACTCACCCACTCACCTACTCACTCACCTACCCACTCACCTACTCACTCACCTACCCACTCACTCACCTACCTCACTCACCTATTCACTCACCCACTCACCTACTCACTCACCTACCCACCTACTCACTCACTCACCCACTCACCCACTCACCCACTCACCTACTCACCTACTCACTCACCCACTCACTCACTCACCCTACTCACCTACTCACTCACCCACTCACCTACCCACTCACCTACTCACTCACCCACTCACCTACCCACTCACCTACTCACCTACTCACCCACTCACCTACTCACTCACCTACTCACTCACCCACTCACCTACTCACCCCACTCACCCACTCACCTACTCACTCACTCACCCACTCACCCACTCACCCTACCCACCTACTCACCCCACTCACCCACTCACCTACTCACCCACCCACTCACCCACTCACCTGTTCACCTACTCACCTACTCACTCACCCACTCACCTACTCACTCACCTACTCACTCACCTACTCACTCACCCACTCACCTACTCACTCACTTACCCACTCACCTACCCACCCACCTACTCACTCACCCACTCACCTACCCACCCACCTACTCACCCACTCACCTACTCACTCACCTACTCACTCACCCAGTCACCTACTCACTCACCTACTCACTCACCCACTCACCTACTCACTCACCTACTCACTCATCTACTCGCTCACCTACTCACTCACCTACTCACTCACCCACTCACCTACCCACTCACCCACTCACCTACTCACTCACCTACCCACTCACTCACCTACCTCACTCACCTATTCACTCACCCACTCACTCACTCACCCTACTCACCTACTCACTCACCCACTCACCTATCCACTCACCTACTCACTCACCCACTCACCTACCCACTCACCTACTCACCCCACTCACCCACTCACCTACTCACTCACTCACCCACTCACCCACTCACCCTACCCACCTACTCACCCCACTCACCCACTCACCTACTCACTCACCTACTCACTTACCCACTCACCTACTCACCCCACTCACCCACTCACCTACTCACTCACTCACCCACTCACCCACTCACCCTACCCACCTACTCACCCCACTCACCCACTCACCTACTCACCCACCCACTCACCCACTCACCTGTTCACCGACTCACCTACTCACTCACCCACTCACCTACTCACTCACCTACTCACTCACCTACTCACTCACCCACTCACCTACTCACTCACTTACCCACTCACCTACCCACCCACCTACTCACTCACCCACTCACCTACCCACCCACCTACTCACTCACCCACTCACCTACTCACTCACCTACTCACTCACCCAGTCACCTACTCACTCACCTACTCACTCACCCACTCACCTACTCACTCACCTACTCACTCATCTACTCGCTCACCTACTCACTCACCTACTCACTCACCTACTCACTCACCTACTCACTCACCCACTCACCTACCCACTCACCCACTCACCTACTCACTCACCTACCCACTCACCTACTCACTCACCTACCCACTCACTCACCTACCTCACTCACCTACTCACTCACCCACTCACCCACTCACCTACCCACTCACCTACTCACCCACCTACTCACTCACCCACTCACTCACCTACTCACCCACTCACCTACTCACCCACTCACCCACTCACCTACTCACTCACCCACTCACCTACTCACCCACTCACCCACTCACCTACTCACTCACCTACTCACTCACCTACTCACCTACCCACCCACCTACTCACTCACCCACTCACCTACTCACTCACCTACCCACTCACCCACTCACCTACTCACTCACCTACTTACTCACCCACTCACTCACCCACTCACCTACCCACTCACCCACTCACCCTACCCACCTACTCACTCACTCACCCACTCACCCACTCACCTACTCACTCACCTACTCACCCACTCACCTACTCACCCACTCACCCACTCACCCACTCACCTACCCACTCACCCACCCACTCACCCACTCAACTACCCACCCACCTACCCACCCACCTACTCACTCACCTACCCACTCACTCACTCACCTACCCACCCACCCACTCACCCACTCACCCACTCACCTACTCACCCACCCAGTCACCCACTCACCCACTCACCCACCCACTCACCCACCCACCCACTCACCTACCCACTCACCTACTCACCCACCCACCCACCTACCCACCCACCCACTCACCCACTCACCCACCCACTCACCCACCCACCCACCCACTCACCCACCCACCCACCCACCCACTCACCCACCCACCCACTCACCCACTCACCTACCCACCCACCCACCCACTCACCCACTCACCCACTCAACTACCCACCCACCTACCCACCCACCTACTCACTCACCTACCCACTCACTCACTCACCTACCCACCCACCCACTCACCCACTCACCCACTCACCTACTCACCCACCCAGTCACCCACTCACCCACTCACCCACCCACTCACCCACCCACCCACTCACCCACCCACTCACCCACCCAACCACTCACCTACCCACCCACCCACTCACCCACTCACCCACCCACTCACCCACCCACCCACCCACCCACCCACTCACCCACCCACCCACCCACTCACCCACCCACCCACTCACCCACCCACCCACTCACCCACTCACTTACCCACCCACTCACCCACCCACTCACTCACTCACCCACTCACCCACCCACTCACCTACTCACCCACCCCACTCACCCACTCACCTACCCACCCACCTACTCACCCACTCACCTACTCACTCACCTGTTCACCTACTCACTCACTCACCAACTCACCCACTCACCCACTCACTCACTCACTCACCCACTCACCCACCCACCCACCTACTCACCCACTCACCCACCCACTCACCCACCCACCTACCCACTCACCCACCCACCCACCTACTCACCACCCCGCGTGTGTGACTAGTGAAGTATGTGAACGCCCACACGGGCTCGGTGCTGATCCGGGTTCGTCAGCGCAGCCTCCAGCTACTGACGTCGGCGCTGGCCGTCATCACCAGCCTGCAGCAGCAGCAGCAGCGTTCCCCCTGTGCCTTCCACCTGCTGCACGTGGGTGGTGAGTGACTCGCTCACTCGCTCGCCACTAGCAGACTCACTCACCACAGAGAGTATCCACAGACTCACTCACACAGAGACACCCACAGACTCACTCACACAGAGACCCAGAGACTCACTCACACAGAGACCCACAGACTCACACAGACTCACTCACCACAGAGTATCCACAGACTCACTCACACAGAGACACCCACAGACTCACTCACACAGAGACCCAGAGACTCACTCACACAGAGACCCACAGACTCACACAGACTCACTCACCACAGAGAGCCACAGACTCACTCACACAGAGACCCACAGACTCACTCACACAGAGAGCCACAGACTCACTCACACAGACACACAGACTCACTCACACAGACACCCACAGACTCACTCACACAGAGACCCACAGACTCACTCACACAGAAAGCCACAGACTCACTCATACAGAGACCCACAGACTCACACAGAGACCCACAGACTCACTCACACAGAGACCCACAGACTCACTCACACAGAGAGCCACAGACTCACTCACACAGAGACCCACAGACTCACTCACACAGAGACCCACAGACTCACCACACAGAGTGCCACAGACTCACTCACACAGAGACCCACAGACTCACTCACACAGAGACCCACAGACTCACTCACACAGAGAGCCACAGACACTCTCACACAGAGACCCACAGACTCACTCACCACACAGAGACCCACAGACTCACTCACACAGAGACCCACAGACTCACTCACACAGAGACCCACAGACACACTCACACAGAGACTCACAGACTCACACAGAGACCCACAGACTCACTCACACAGAGAGCCACAGACTCACTCACACAGAGAGTATCCACAGACTCACTCACACAGAGACCCACAGACTCACACAGAGACCCACAGACTCACTCACACAGAGACCCACAGACTCACTCACACAGAGAGCCACAGACTCACGCAGAGACCCACAGACTCACTCACACAGAGAGCCACAGACTCACACACACAGAGACCCACAGATTCACACAGAGACCCACAGACTCACTCACACAGAGAGCCACAGACTCACACACACAGAGAGCCACAGACTCACTCACGCAGAGAGCCACAGACTCACTCACACAGAGAGCCACAGACTCACACAGAGACCCACAGACTCACTCACACAGAGACCCACAGACTCACACAGAGACCCACAGACTCACTCACACAGAGACCCACAGACTCACTCACACAGAGACCCACACACTCACTCACACAGAGACCCACAGACTCACTCACACAGAGACCCACAGACTCACTCACACAGAGACCCACAGACTCACTCACACAGAGACCCACAGAATCACCACACAGAGACCCACAGACTCACTCACACAGAGACCCACAGACTCGCTCACACAGAGAGCCACAGACTCACCACACAGAGACCCACAGACTCACTCACACAGAGAGCCACAGACTCACTCACACAGAGACTCACTCACACAGAGACCCACAGACTCACCACACAGAGACCCACAGACTCACTCACACAGAGACCCACAGACTCACTCACACAGAGACCCACAGACTCACTCACACAGAGACCCACAGACTCACTCACACAGAGACCCACAGAATCACCACACAGAGACCCACAGACTCACTCACACAGAGACCCACAGACTCACTCACACAGAGAGCCACAGACTCACCACACAGAGACCCACAGACTCACTCACACAGAGAGCCACAGACTCACCACACAGAGACCCACAGACTCACTCACACAGAGAGCCACAGACTCACTCACACAGAGACTCACTCACACAGAGACCCACAGACTCACCACACAGAGACCCACAGACTCACTCACACAGAGACCCACAGACTCACTCACACAGAGACCCACAGACTCACTCACACAGAGACCCACAGACTCACTCACACAGAGAGCCACAGACTCACCACACAGAGACCCACAGACTCACTCACACAGAGAGCCACAGACTCACTCACACAGAGACTCACTCACACAGGGACCCACAGACTCACCACACAGAGACCCACAGACTCACTCACACAGAGAGCCACAGACTCACCACACAGAGACCCACAGACTCACTCACACAGAGAGCCACAGACTCACTCACACAGAGACTCACTCACACAGAGACCCACAGACTCACCACACAGAGACCCACAGACTCACTCACACAGAGACCCACAGACTCACTCACACAGGGACCCACAGACTCACTCACACAGAGACCCACAGACTCACTCACACAGAGACCCACAGAATCACCACACAGAGACCCACAGACTCACTCACACAGAGACCCACAGACTCACTCACACAGAGAGCCACAGACTCACCACACAGAGACCCACAGACTCACTCACACAGAGAGCCACAGACTCACTCACACAGAGACTCACTCACACAGAGACCCACAGACTCACCACACAGAGACCCACAGACTCACTCACACAGAGACCCACAGACTCACTCACACAGAGACCCACAGACTCACTCACACAGAGACCCACAGACTCACTCACACAGAGACCCACAGACTCACTCACACAGAGACCCACAGACTCACTCACACAGACTCACCACACAGACACACAGACTCACTCACACAGAGACCCATAGACTCACTCACACAGACTCACCACACAGACACACAGACTCACTCACACAGAGGGCCACAGACTCACTCACACAGAGACCCACACACTCACACAGAGACCCACAGACTCACTCACACTGAGACCCACAGACTCACTCACACAGAGACCCACAGACTCGCTAACACAGAGACCCACAGACACACTCACACAGAGACCCACAGACTCACTCACACAGAGACCCACAGACTCACTCACACAGAGACCCACAGACTTACTCACACAGAGACCCACAGACTCACTCACACAGAGACCCACAGACTCGCACAGAGACCCACAGACTCACACAGAGACCCACAGACTCACACAGAGACACACAGACTCACTCACACAGAGACCCACAGACTCACTCACACAGAGAGCCATAGACTCACACACACAGAGACCCACAAACTCACTCACCCAGAGAGCCACAGACTCACGCAGAGAGCCACAGACTCACTCACACAGAGACCCACAGACTCACTCACACAGAGACCCACAGACTCACTCACACAGAGACCCACAGACTCACTCACACAGAGACCCACAGACTCACTCACACAGAGAGCCACAGACTCACTCACACAGAGAGCCACAGACTCACTCACACAGAGAGCCACAGACTCACTCACACAGAGAGCCACAGACTCACTCACACAGAGAGCCACAGACTCACTCACACAGAGAGCCACAGACTCACTCGCACAGAGACCCACAGACTCACTCACACAGAGAGCCACAGACTCACCACACAGAGACCTACAGACTCACTCACACAGAGAGCCACAGACTCACTCACACAGAGACACCCACAGACTCACTCACACAGAGACCCATAGACTCACTCACACAGAGACCCACAGACTCACTCACGCAGAGACCCACAGACTCACTCACACAGAGACCCACAGACTCAATCACACAGAGACCCACAGACTCACTCACACAGAGACCCACAGACTCACTCACACAGAGACCCACAGACTCACCCACACAGAGAGCCACAGAATAACTCACACAGAGAGCCACAGACTCACTCACACATAGACCCACAGACTCACTCACACAGAGACCCATAGACTCACTAACACAGAGACCCACAGACTCACTCACACAGAGAGCCACAGACTCACTCACACAGAGACTCACTCACACAGAGACCCACACACTCACACAGAGAGCCACAGACTCACTCACACATAGACCCACAGACTCACTCACACAGAGACCCATAGACTCACTAACACAGAGACCCACAGACTCACTCACACAGAGAGCCACAGACTCACTCACACAGAGACTCACTCACACAGAGACCCACACACTCACACAGAGACCCACAGACTCACTCACACAGAGACCCACACACTCACACAGAGACCCACAGACTAACTCACACAGAGTCCCACAGGCTCACTCACACAGAGACCCACAGGCTCACTCACACAGAGACACACAGACTCACTCACACAGACCCACAGACTCACACAGAGACCCACAGACTCACACACACAGAGAGCCACATACTCACTCACACAGAGACCCACAGACTCACTCACACAGAGACCCACAGACACAGAGACCTACAGACTCACGCAGAGAGCCACAGACTCACTCACACAGAGACCCACAGACTCACTCACACAGAGAGCCACAGACTCACTCACACAGAGACCCACAGACTCACTCACACAGAGACCCACAGACTCACTCACACAGAGACCCACAGACTCACTCACACAGAGACCCACAGACTCGCTAACACAGAGACCCACAGACTCACTCACACAGAGACCCACAGACTCACTCACACAGAGACCCACAGACTCACTCACACAGAGACCCACAGACTCACTCACACAGAGACCCACAGACTCACTCACACAGAGACCCACAGACTCACTCACACAGAGACCCACCACACAGAGACCCACAGACTCACTCACACAGAGACCCATAGACTCACACACACAGAGACCCACAGACTCACTCACACAGAGACCCACAGACTCACTCACACAGAGACCCACAGACTCACTCACACAGAGACCCACAGACTCACTCACACAGAGACCCACAGACTCACCACACAGTAACTCACTTGCCACACAGAGAGAGCCATAGACTCAATCACACAGGATACATGAGTGGGTGAGTGAGTGGGTGAATGAGTGTGTGAGTGAGTGAGTGTATGAGTGAGTGAGTGTATGAGTGAGTGAGTGTATGAGTGAGTGAGTGTATGAGTGAGTCAGTGTATGAGTGAGTGAGTGTATGAGATAGTGAGTGTATGAGTGAGTGAGTGTATGAGTGAGTGGGTCAGTGTATGAGTGAGTCAGTGTATAAGATAGTGATTGTATGAGTGAGTGAGTGTATGAGTGAGTCAGTGCGTGTATGAGTGAGTGAGTGAGTGTATGAGTTAGTCAGTGTATGAGATAGTGAGTGTATGAGTGAGTAAGTCAGTGTATGAGTGAGTGAGTGTATGAGTGAGTGAGTCAGTGTATGAGTGAGTGAGTGTATTAGATAGTGATTGTATGAGTGAGTGAGTGTATGAGTGAGTGAGTGTATGAGTGAGTGAGTGAGTGTATGAGTGAGTGAGTCAGTGTATGAGTGAGTGAGTGTATGAGTGAGTGACTGTACGAGTGAGTGTATCAGTGAGTGTGTGTATCAGTGAGTCAGTGTAATGCAGAGAGAGTCTGTTAGTGGATAAGTTGTTATGCGTCTTTGTCTGAGTGAGTGTGTCATTGAGTGAGTGTGTGTGAGTGTATGTGAGGGTGTGCGAGAGCGAGCGAGTGAGTGTGAGTGAGCACTTGCCCCAACAGCACTGCGTGGGCTACACGGGATACCTTTGTCTTTGCGCACCACAGGCACGATTAGAACCTGTCAGAAGTTCCTTCTGAAGCATCACCAGCAGCGTCAGGAGCAACTGTTGAAGGCATGCAACACAGAGGGTAAGTAGGGTTCACGATGGCCGTGTCACTGAGTGAGGTTCACGATGGACGTGTCACTGAGTGGGGTTCACGATGGACGTGTCTCTGGGTGGGGTTCACGATGGACGTGTCACTGAGAGGGGTTCACGATGGACGTGTCTCTGAGTGGGGTTCACGATGGACGTGTCACTGAGTGGGGTTCACGATGGACGTGTCTTTGAGTGGGGTTCACGATGACCGTGTGACTGAGAGGGGTTCACGATGGACGTGTCACTGAGTGGGGTTCACGATGGCCGTGTCTCTGAGTGGGGTTCACGATGGACGTGTCACTGAGTGGGGTTCACGATGGACGTGTCACTGAGTGGGGTTCACGATGGCCGTGTCACTGAGTGGGGTTCACGATGGACGTGTCACTGAGTGGGGTTCACGATGGACGTGTCTCTGAGTGGGGTTCACGATGGACGTGTCACTGAGTGGGGTTCACGATGGACGTGTCACTGGGTGGGGTTCACGATGGACGTGTCACTGAGTGGGGTTCACGATGGCCGTGTCACTGAGTGGGGTTCACGATGGCCGTGTCACTGAGTGGGGTTCACGATGGCCGTGTCACTGAGTGGGGTTCACGATGGACGTGTCACTGAGTGGGGTTCACGATGGACGTGTCTCTGGGTGGGGTTCACGATGGCCGTGTCACTAAATGGGTTCACGATGACCGTGTGACTGAGAGGGCTTCACGATGGCCGTGTCACCGAGAGGGCTTCACGATGGCCGTGTGTTTGTGTCCCCAGAGGAGAGGGAGGCGTTACGAGGAGCCATGGCCATGAGCTGTCCACTGCTGGACAGCGCCGACGATCACGGGGAGTTCTTCGGCGTGGACGTGGAGAGCGCCTGACGGGGCGGGCGACGTTGGGGGAGAGTTGTGGAAGAGTTGTGGGGGGATTGGAGGGAGGAGCGGAGAGGGTGGAGGGAGTACAAGTGCACGGATGGACACACGCAGGCACACACAGACACGAGGATGGACAGGCACACCCACAGAGTGAGTGTGTGTGTGAATATCCCGTGTGAGTGATTGTGCGAGTGAGTGTGTGTGTGTGCGAGTGAGTGAGTGTGTGAGTGTGTGAGTGAGTGAGTGTATGAGTGAGTGAGTGTGAGTGAGTGTGTGTGTGAATATCCCGTGTGAGTGAGTGAGTGTATGAGTGAGTGAGTGTGTGAGTGAGTGAGTGTGTGTGTGAGTGAGTGAGTGTATGAGTGAGTGAGTGAGTGTATGAGTGAGTGAGTGTGTGAGTGAGTGAGTGTGTGAGTGAGTGAGTGTGTGTGTGAGTGAGTGTGTGAGTGAGTGAGTGTGAGTGAGTGAGTGTATGAGTGAGTGAGTGTATGAGTGAGTGTGTGAGTGAGTGAGTGTGAGTGTGTGTGTGAATATGCCGTGTGTGTGAGTGAGTGAGTGTATGAGTGTATGAGTGAGTGTGTGAGTGAGTGTGTGTGTGAGTGAGTGAGTGTGAGTGAGTGTGAGTGTGTGAGTGAGTGTGTGAGTGAGTGTATGACTGAGTGTGTGAGTGAGTGTGAGTGAGTGAGTATCCTATGTGCCGTGACACTGATACGTGGTGATTAAACGATTTCATAGCAAAACCGATTTGCCGTTTTGTGTACCTGGTACCTGTACCTGTGTGTGTATTGTTTGTGTGTGCCACTCATCTCAGTCGATCCGTGGCACTTGCTGGGTCTGTCCCGTGATCTCCTGCACCTAGCCTGGCACAGAAAGGGGGGGGTACAGCTGGTGGTGCATCTACCGCTCATCTAAGTTAGCCAACCCGTGGCACCTGCTGGGTCTGTCCCGTGACCTCCTGTCAGCAGCTATCCCAGGATGGATCGTAGGCAGGCCAGCCAGACTGTTTCTAATTGGCGAAGGTGTTCCATTATGGGGGTCCACGTTTCGCAAGCGTAGAGAAGGGAGGGAATGACCGTGGCCGAGAAGACCTGAAGCTTCGTGCGGAGCGACAGACCAGGTAGCTTCCACACAGCGTTACGCAACCGATGAAAAGATATTGCCGCTCGACTGATTCGGAGTGAGACCTCTGCTGTTAAACCGGAGCCGGTCATGAGCACACTGCCCAGGTATGGGAAACTCTCCACTCTCTCCACAACTGCCCCATCACCGATTGGGAGCTGAGGGGGCGGAGTGTCTGGTGGCACAACATAATCAGGCAGGTGCTTAGTTTTGGTGGGGCTGATGGTAAGAGAGAGACACACACAAGACACAGGGATTGAACCCAGATCTTCACCTGTGCTGGACACGACATTTAAACACGGCCATTATGAACCCTGCAAGAGAGAGACAGACACACAAGACCTAGGGATCGAACCCAGGCCATCAGCTGTACTGGACACTACATTTCAACACGGCCATTATGAACCCTGCAAGAGACACGACCCAGGATTTGAACCCAGATCTTCACCTGTGCTGGACACGACATTTCAACACGGCCATTATGAACCCTGCAAGAGAGACACACAAGACCCAGGGATCGAACTCAGATCTTCACCTGTGCTGGACACGACATTTCAACACGGCCATTATGAACCCTACCAGAGAGACAGACACATAAGACCTAGGGATCGAACCCAGATCTTCACCTGTGCTGACCACCACATCTTTCAACACGGCCATTATGAACCCTGCAAGAGAGAGACAGACACACAAGACCCAGGATTTGAACCCAGGCCATCAGCTGTACTGGACACGACATTTCAACACGGCCATTATGAACCCTGCAAGAGAGAGACAGACACACAAGACCCAGGATTTGAACCAAGATCTTCACCTGTGCTGGACACGGCATCTTTCAACACGGCCATTATGAACCCTGCAAGAGACAGACACACACAAGACCCAGGGATCGAACCCAGATCTTCAGCTGTACTGGACACGACATTTCAACACGGCCATTATGAACCCTACCAGAGAGACACGCACCCAAGACCCAGGGTTTGAACCCAGATCTTCACCTGTGCTGACCACCACATCTTTCAACACGGCCATTATGAACCCTGCAAGAGAGACAGACACGCACCCAAGACCCAGGGATCGACCCCAGATCTTCACCTGTGCTGGACACGACATCTTTCAACACGGCCATTATGAACCCTGCAAGAGAGAGACACACACAAGACCCAGGGATCGAACCCAGGCCATCAGCTGTACTGGACACGACATTTCAACACGGCCATTATGAACCCTGCAAGACAGACACACACAAGACCTAGGGATCGAACCCAGGCCATCAGCTGTACTGGACACGACATTTCAACACGGCCATTATGAACCCTGCAAGAGAGACACACACACAAGACCCAGGGATCGAACCCAGATCTTCACCTGTGCTGGACACGGCATCTTTCAACACGGCCATTATGAACCCTACAAGAGAGAGACACACACAAGACCAAGGGTTTGAACCCAGATCTTCACATGTGCTGGACACGGCATCTTTCAACACAGCCATTAAGAACCCTACCAGAGAGACAGACACACACAAGACCTAGGATTTGAACCCAGATACCTGTGCTGGACACGACATCTTTCAACACGGCCATTATGAACCCTGCAAGAGAGAGACACACACAAGACCTAGGGATCGAACCCAGGCCATCAGCTGTACTGGACACGACATTTCAACACGGCCATTATGAACCCTGCAAGAGAGACACACACAAGACCCAGGGATCGAACCCAGATCCTCACCTGTGCTGGACACGACATTTCAACACAGCCATTATGAACCCTGCAAGAGAGAGACAGACACACACAAGACCTAGGATTTGAACCCAGATCTTCACCTGTACTGGACACGACATCTTTTGTTGTTTTATTATTATTTCTTTTCCTACGTGACTTTGCCGAACGGAGCCAAAGAGCCACGGATCCTCGCGGTCGGGGAAAGCTTCAAGTCTAGAATTGATGACCTCTAGGGGCAGGGCTTTTGCCAGTCTGTCAGAGCTTTCGGCAGGCGACTGGGACGAGAAGTCTCAGCTCATCGAGACGCCGATCTTGATGCCTCCGACGCAGCTTACAGGAACACGACCTGGGCGTGGCTGTCCCTTCGCTCCAGCGCTGCCCTCTGGACGGCTCGGTCCCCTTCAACCCGACGAAGGCCGCTTGCGTTGTGGCCGAAAGTAAAAAAAAACGACAAAAAATCCACGACATTTCGGCCACAACGCAGGCGGCCTCCATCAGGTGAAGGGACCGTGCTGTCACGTACTGTCACGTACTGTCACGTACCGTCACGAGGACAGCGTTGGCATTCCGACGCTGTCCTCTGGACAGCACGGTCCCTTCACCTGATGAAGGCCACTTGTGTTGTGGCCGAAATAAAAAAAAATAAAACGACAAAAAATCCACGACGTTTCGGCCACAACGCAGGCGGCCTTCAATCAGGTGAAGGGACCGTGCTGTCCAGAGGACAGAGTTGGAGTGAAGACAGCCAAGCCCGGTCCGGTCCCTTCACCTGATGAAGGCCGCTTGCGTCGTGGCCCGAAACGTCGTGATTTTTTGGTTGCTTTATTATTATTTTTTACCCACGTGACTTTGCCGAACGGAGCCAAAGGGCGTGGATTCGTCGCGGTTGGGGAAAGCTTCAAATCTAGAAAAAACAATTTTAGTTTTTTTCACGGGCCGGGGGGTGGGGAGTGGGAGGGTTGTTCATCGTTGAGTCTTTCCCCCTGGTCGAAGAAGCTCTTCCGGCTGACGTTTAGTTATTGAACTCATGTCGGCTACGAGGGGTTAGAGCTTGTGGGGCGGGCGGGGGGGGGGGGGCACGCACGGACTCGCCGCTCTCACAACACCACTGCCCACCACACCACTAGTCACCACACCACTAGTCACCACACCACTAACCACCACTACCCTACCCACCACACCACTAACCACCACACCACCAACTACCTACCACACCACTACGCTACCCACCAGACCACTATCCACCACACCACTACCGTACCCACCACACCACTACCCTTCCCACCACACCACTGCCCTACCCACCACACCACTACCCTACCCACCACACCACTATCCTACCCACCACACCACACACCACACCACTGCCCTACCCACCAGACCACTACCCACCACACCACTACCCTACCCACCACACCACTATCCTACCCACCACACCACCATCCACCACACCACTACCCACCACACCACATCCCTACCCACCACACCACTACCCACCACACCACTGTCCACCACACCACTACCCTACCCACCACAACACACCACTTCCCACCACACCACTGCCCTACCAACCACACCACACCACTACCCTCTACACCCTTCACACCACACCACCAACTACCCACCACACCCACCCACCAGACCACCACGCCCACCCACCACACCCACCCACCAGACCACCCCACCCACCCCAGGTTAGTGATAGTTTAGTGATAGTTTAGTGATAGTTTAGTGATAGTTTAGTGTTAGTTTAGTGATAGTTTAGTGATAGTTTAGTGATAGTTTAGTGATAGTTTAGTGTTAGTTTAGTGATAGTTTAGTGATAGTTTAGTGTTAGTTTAGTGATAGTTTAGCGATAGTTTAGTGATAGTTTAGTGATAGTTTAGTGTTAGTTTAGTGTTAGTTTAGTGATAGTTTAGTGATAGTTTAGTGTTAGTTTAGTGATAATTTAGTGTTAGTTTAGTGTTAGTTTAGTGATAGTTTAGTGCTAGTTTAGTGATAGTTTAGTGTTAGTTTAGTGATAGTTTAGTGTTAGTTTAGTGATAGTTTAGTGATAGTTTAGTGTTAGTTTAGCGATAGTTTAGCGATAGTTTAGCGTTAGTTTAGCGATAGTTTAGCGATAGTTTAGTGTTAGTTTAGTGTTAGTTTAGTGATAGTTTAGTGATAGTTTATTGATAGTTTAGTGATAGTTTAGTGATAGTTTAGTGATAGTTTAGTGCGAGATTAGTGTTAGTTTAGTGATAGTTTAGTGTTAGTTTAGTGATAGTTTAGTGATAGTTTAGTGATAGTTTAGTGTT